AAAAAAATCCTTGTAAACAATGTTGCTATCAACATCTTTACAAATATAATTTTTCTTCTTGTGTTATTATTTTTAGGATAAATGCCCAGAATTATGAGTATGAAATCAAAGAGTGCAAGTGTTTTTACAGCCTGAAAAAGACAATACTAATTCAGGAGGCCAAGAGTGGCTGATTTAAATAGAAGGTTGTGTCCTGGCCTGTTTGGCTCAGCAGTTAAAGTGTTGGCCCGTGGACCTTTGGTCCAAGGGTTTGATTCTAGTCAAGGGCACATACCTTGGTTGTGGTTGGATCCCTCGTCCTAGTTGGGGTTGTGCTAGAGGCAACCATGCAGTGTGTCTCTCTCACACTGATGTTTCTCTCTCTCTCTCCCTATCTCCCTCCCTCCCTCCCACTATATCTGAAAATTGATGGAAAAGTGTCCTCAAGTGAGGATTAAAATATAATAATAGCCCTGGCTGGTTTGGCTCAGCGGTTAGAGCGTTGGCCTGTGGACCAGAGAGACCCGGGTTCGGTTCCTGCTAAGGGCACCTACCTTGGTTGCAGTTTGTCCCCAACCCCGGTTGGGGTCGTGTGGGTGGCAATCACTTGATGTGTCTCTCTCACATTGATGTTTCTCTCTCTCTCTTCCTCCCTCTCTCCCTCCCACTCTATCTGAAGATAAATGCAAAAATGTCCTTGGGTGAGGATAAAAATAAATAAATAAATAAATAAATAAATAAATAAATAAATAAATAAATAAAATAACAACAACAATAATAATAATAAAAATAGAAGGTTGTATGTAATGGGAGGTACGAGCATAGACCTACAAATAGCAGGAGATTGTGAGAACAGCTGTGCCAGCTAGTGTGCAAAGGACTCTGTCCTGTTACTAGGAGAACTCCCCACACCAAGCTTACAGCAGCTTTTCCAGGTTAGTAACACCCCTGCCATTGTTCTGGGACTCACGAGGCTAATCCAAGCCACGATGACCTAAATTTCAACATTGGACAATAAGGGATTTTGTGATTAGCTGACTTGTTGCCTCTAGAGGATTCTCCTGAGAACAACCATAATGTGAAATTTTGTGTTCTAGAACCTCTTAATTCTCTGAGGCTGTTGTGAAAATAAGTATAAATCTAAAATTTAAAAGAAAAAATATTTGGCCTAAAAGACATTGAATTGAAAGCAAATAAAAAAAAAAACAAAAAAAAAAACCCACTAGTAATGGGAGTGTAAATTGGTATCACAACTTTGGAAAATGGTTTAGCATTATCTTTTAACACTGAACTCTAGCTTGGCTCAGTAATTTCGCTCCTAGATCTTTACTCAGAGAAATGCCTGCCTGTGGACCCTGGCAACAAGAAGGGCATGTTCAGAGCAGCATTATTTGTCAGAGCAAACGGTAAATTATCCACTGTTATCAGACGAACAATGGCCGAACAGATTCTGGTACAGTCATATAATAAAGTACTATATAGCAGTGAAATGAATAAAGAGCAGCTATGTACAATTATATGTATGAATCTTAGAAACACTGCCTAGAAAAAATGCAAGGCTCAGAAGTTAACTATTTTTTAAAAAAATATTTTTTCTTTATTGATTTTAGAGAGAGGAAGGGAGAGATAGAAACATCGATGAGAGAGAACATCGATTGGCTGCCTCCTATATGCCTCCCACTGGGGGTCGGGCCCACAACCTGGGCATGTGCTGTGACTGGGAATTGAACTGATGACTTGTTGGTGCATGAGTCTATGCTCAATCCCTAAGCCACACCAGCTGGGCAGATTTCATTAAAAATTTTTTTTTTATCCTCACCTGAGGACATTTTTTGCATTTGTCTTCAGATAGAGCCCGGGGGAGAGTGGGGGAAGGAGAGTGAAACATTTATATGAGAGAGACACAGTGACTGATTGCCACACACATAACCCCAACCAGGGCGGGGACAAACTGCAACTGAGGTACGTGCCCTTAGTGGGAACCAAACCCAGGATTCTCTTGTCCGCAGGCCAACGCTCTAACCACTGAGCCAAATCAGCCGGGGTCAGATTTCATTTTTTTAAAAAATTTTTCTGCTGAAGATTGAAGCAAGGTCATCAATTAAGAGTGAAGAAGCCCTGGCTGGTTTGGCTTAGTGGATGGAGGAGTCCCAGGTTCAATTCCCGCCAAGGGCACATATCTCGGTTGTCATCGGCCCTGGTTGGGATTGTGCTGGTGGCAACCAATCAATGTGTCTCTCTCACGTGGATGTCTCTCTGTCTCTTTCTCCCTCTCTCCCTCCCGCTGTATCTGAAGATAAAGGCAAAGATGTCCTTGGGTGAGGATAAAAAGGAAAAAAAAGAGTGAAAGGGTGGTAAGGCATGCAGGAGGGCTGAAGAGGGGAGAAAGGGGGGGAACTATCACTTTGGAGCATAAACAAGAGAAGAGACTAAGGAAGGACAGTAGGAATACAGGTGGTTGACTGGTGTCCTCCCAGCCTCTCAGCTAAAAGGCCAAGATATATCTATATCTATCCACAATTTTTGTTGTTGTTGTTAATCCTCACCTGAGGATATTTTCCCATTGACTTTTAGAGTGGAAGGGAGGGAAGGAGAGAGAGAAAGAAACATCGATGTGATAAAGGATACACATCAATTGGTTGCCTCTCACATGACCCTGACCAGGGCCAGGGATGAACCTGCAACTGAGGCACGTGCCCTTGACTGGGAATCGAACCCGCTACCCTTTGGTCCGAGGGCCGATGATCTAACTGCTGAGCCAAACCAGTCAGGGCTATAACCACAACTTTTTATCCACTTGTCTATTGATGGGAGATGTTTACTTATTGAATAGTATTATTTTTATAAAGCTAAAAAGCAAAACAATGTACTGTGTAGGGATGCATTCATCTGTATTTAAGATTTTTTACAACAAAGGAATGATAAATGTAAACTTGAGAATGGGAGCCAGGGGGATAGAATAGGTGAGGAATACAGAGGTATTGGCAATATTTAAGTTCTCAAGTTGAGGGGTAAGTACATAGTATTCATTTCATTATTAGACTTTGTACCTTATATCCAGGTTACAGAAATTCTGTTGACTGTATTGAGCAATATAGTAAATTAAAAAGAAAATTCACTGGCATCTACTGTTTTTGTATGTTGCATTTGAAAACAGCAATGTAGCCTGGCTGGTGTGGCTCAGTGGTTGAGCATTGACCCTTGTACCAAGAGGTTGGTTTGATTCCCGATCAGGGCACATGCCCAGGTTGTGGGCCCAATTCCCAGTGAGGGGCATGCAGGAGGCAGCCAATCCATGTTCTTTCTCATGGATGTTTCTATCTCTCCTTCATCCTTCCTCTCTCTCTCTAAAATCAATAAAGAAAAAAACACAGCAATGTAGATAAAATCAGAAAACCATAAAATGTTAGAATTAGAAGAGGCCTTCAAGATAATGGTTCATCTGAAATGCAATCACTTAATTATAAGTACTAGGGAATAGTTATCATTTGGGAAACTGGGGGAGACTTTCTAAACAAAATCAATGGAAAAAGTCATGAAAGAAAATGTTGAGAGGTTTTATTTAGTTAAAGTTTTTAAAATGGTGCACAAAAGCCATCTTAAATGAAGTTAAAAGGCAAATGATAAACTAGGGTAAAAATATGCCACTAATATCAGAGCCTAGGGACTAATATCCTAGGCTAATATCCTTAATATATATCCTTAATATATAATGAACCTATAAAATCATTAAGGAACATACTAACTGCAAAATTGAAAAATGGCAATGATACAAATATATAATTAATAGAAGAAGAAATGCAAATGACCAATAAAATAATTTAAAAAAATAAATTTTTCTAATAATTCAAAAGAACAGAAAACGAATCTTTTAAAGACAGATATCATTTTTAATTACTCAAAATAGCAAAGATTTAAAAACTTGTACTGTATTATAGCACTTGATATTGACAAGGTGTCAAGGACCATGGTAATTCTATTACCGTCATTCTATTAGGAGATAAAATTAGACATTTGAAGTAAGAAGTTCGGCCTTATGTTTCAATAGTCTTAGAAAGGTTCATATCCTTTGACCCAGTAAACTTGCTTATAGACCTATAGGAATACATCTTAAACAATGACCAGAACGGTGGCTAAAAACTTCAATATAGGGCTGTCCACTTCAGCATTATGAGAGCAAACGTGGAGGGAAAAAATAGCCCAGCAACAGAAGAATGGCTAAACAGGTCATGGAACATGCAAACATGGAATATTTTGTAGCCATCAGAAACCATGTTATTGGAAGACATTGTTTATGATAACCCCTGAATTTCTTCTCCCCAATTTACAGAAACCTCAGCAGTGATGGGAGATCTCAACTTGAGGTTTTCTCTGACTGCAGTTACTTCATCAACCATTCATAAGCACTTTCCCCAGGTCAGACAAGATTCTTTCCCCCAAAAGTTTAGTTCTTCCATTTAATTTCCTTGTCTTTGCTGGGGTATTCTAATCGATGCCATGTGTGGATCTGGGTCCCAGCATAGAATCATGAACTCCCTGTTCCCCCAAACAGAAGCGGAAGCCTTAAATCCTCTCTTGAAATTGCTGTGCTGATCACGAAGGCCCCAGAGCTCAGGCGGCAGAATGGAGACTCCTTGGATTAGCACTGGAAATGGGGGGGGGGGGGGGGGGGGGGAGGAGGTCCTCAGCGTTACTCTGAATAACATCTCATTTACTGGGGTAGTGAAAGAAAGAGTAACATCGAGAAAAGAAATCCACGGAGTAAAGAATTGAATCACATGCTCTGCACCTCCTTCCCCACGCATCCGCAGTAGTAATCCAATTTGGCTTCTTTTCTCTCTCATTGAGCAAGATCTTCAGCCACTTTCACTGTGTGCCAGGAATAAAGACAGATCCAGCCCCTGTCCCGTGTGTGTGTGTGTGTGTGTGTGTGTGTGTGTGTGTGTGTGAGAGAGAGAGAGAGAGAGAGAGAGAGAGAGAGAGAGAGAGAGAGAGAGAAGGGCAAACACCTAGTACAAACAATGACAAGATGGGTGAGTGTTACTGCAGAGGACTTTGGAAAGGGGCTTTAGGGGTCCGGCGAAGTTTTGACATTGTAGGCAAGACCTGAAGGACAGGTCCGAGGACGCCGGGGCAGGCCGAGGCCGCTTCTGGGCAGCCAAGTGGAAGGGCAACGGGAGGGGTACGCCGGGCGCGTCAGATGTCCCTGCCCGTGTGTCCGGCAGGGCGGGCTGGGGAGCCGTCAGAATTTGGGGTTGTGGCCCGGCAGGGGGCCCCACCGAGCGGTATCCAGATCTAGCCTTTCCCATGGTCTGTTTCCCACGCCCCCAGTTGCCACCTGCTCAGTCCTTGGCTACGACACCCGGTCCCCTTCGCGAGCATTTCGGTGGTGCCCGCCTACTCCGTCCGAAGCAGCTGCGGGGCTCGGAGGCCGGAAACGCAGCCAAGGGTCCGGGGCTGGGCCCACAGGTACGGGGGCGCCGATTGATCCCGGGGTCCGTCTTGCCAGGTCACGGGGCCGAGGTGCCGGGGTCTAGGCTCCGGCGGGGCGCAGGCGCACGCTGGGGGGTGAGTTTCCCGAGACAAGGCCAGATTCTCAGGCTGGGGTTTTCTGTCTTTGATCCTGCTGTTTATCCTCCTAGGGGAGATATTTATAGAAAGGAATAATTTAATCACAGCCTGCTCTTCTGGTTTGTTCTTTTCTTGTTCAAGATGTCTGAGTGGGGGTGGATGCAGCCATCTTTCCAGGGCTGAAATTTTACAGAAAGCCGCCTGCTTAAAGCAGTTCCAGTTCAGCTGCATCATCTCTCTGCTCCTGGCTCTCCAGGAGAGGCCTTTCTCTATCTAAGGCTTGCCCGTTTTATAAACACGGAACATGCTTAGGCCTGTGGTTACAGTTGCTTCTTAATTTCTCTCCCTATTCCACCAGATTGACTGTTATTATAAACTGCCTGCAATACTTTCGGGGCTAAGAAGTGGGGTTTGCATAAACATTTTAAAAGTCACGGTTTGACCTGCAAAGCAAGGGACATCAATAGGGGGCACTGCCGCTTCGCTTTACCTCTTCCTGGGTTCTCCATACTGGTGCCTCCGGGGAAACCCACATTCTGAGACAAGGAGGAGGCCCAGCTGTGGGCTGGGAATGCACCGGGCTGTACAGAATGCCCCGGTTCCCCCACTGATTCATTCCACCAGCCTTCTTTCCAGACCCATGACATGTCCAGTAGCAAGGGTATATAACAGGTACGACTTTTTGTTTTGCTTAAGCAGTAATTGGCCTTTCCTAAGCATAGAAGTGTCAATTTATAAGAGAAAATGTTCAGGTTGGTGGAGGGGGAAGAGAACATTCAGTTGTCATGTGACTCATCTGCCCCTTTTCGTGGAACTTTGGGCCACCAGGAGAGAAGGTCTCTAGGCAGGCCTTACGACTCCAGGAGCCTGCTTTTCCTGTGTGCGACCCTGACTGGCACTGCCAGGACCCTGAGCCAAAGACCCTTTTAGCTTTTGACCCTTTCAGTCCCTTCACTTTTCCAATTGTCCCTTGCTAGCTCTCTGCTTGTCCCTGTGGTCCTCCGTGACCCAGATATGCTCTGTTAAGGATTCCGCCCAGCAGCTCATGGGGCTGCAGTTGATACACAGCTGAATGTTCTGTCTTCTGTCCTACATGAGGGGGTCCTGAATTTTCTAATTAATGTCATACACACCATTCAAAGGAATAGCCCAGGGCTTGACACTGACTTCAATTTACATCTCATTCCATTGGGAGGTGGTAACCGGAAGGGGTACTTCATGTGGTACAGACCAATGGAGGAACATTTTTCGGCAGACATGCTTTCCCGTGCCTGAGAAAGGCATTGCATCCACTGGAGAGAGCCCGCTTTGTGCGGACCTGAGCCTGGGTTTCCCACGCTGTTAGAAGGCGGGATGTCTGTCCACTCCAGAGAGTTCTCGTGAGGCTGAAATTGCCTTGCCCTTCGATTCCTGTTGACTCTACAGGTGGGCTGTTCCTTCATCAGAACAGTCACCAGTCACGCACAATGATGTTCTGGTCCACAATGGACTATGTATGTGATGGTGGTCCCATAAAATGACAATAGGGCCAAGAAATTCCTATAGCCTAGTGATGTCGTGGCTGTTACAACATTGGGGCTGTCATAACGTATACTCAGGTTGTTTGTGGTGATGCTGGTGTAAACACGCCTATTGTGCTGCCAGTTGTATAAGTGTACAGCACATATAATTAGGTATAGGGTGTAATACTTGATAACGATAATAATGACTACGTTGCTGGTTCATGTATTTACTGTACTTTTTATTGTTAGTGTTCTCTTTGTACTTACAAAAAAAGAATTTGCTGTAAAACACTACGCCATGTTACACCGGCAGCAGCCTCATACATCTCGTGTTTTCTGCGTGTCTTGATTGCATCATTTTCTCTTGTGCTTGATTTAATCCCATGTTTTTTGTTTTGTTTTGTTTTTTTATCCTCACCCGAGGACATTTTTCCATTTTTTGTACAGATAGAGTGGGAGGGAGAGAGAGGAAGAGAGAGAGAGAGAAACATTGACGCGAAAGGGACACATCGAGTGGCTGCCACCCGCACAACCAACCAGGGCCGGGGACTAACTGCAACCGAGGTACGCGCCCCCAGCGGGAACCGAACCCGGGTCTCTCTGAACTGCAGGCCGATGCTCCAACCGCTGAGCCAAACTGGCCAGGGCTCCCATGTTGTTTTATACACCAACATGTTATACAGGCCTAGGAGCAATGGTGTGTGTAAGTGTGTGCTGTGATGTTTGCACAACCATGAAATCACTTTGACACATTTCTTAGAATGTACCCCTGTCATCCTGTCATTAATCGAGTATACTCAGTGCTGTATGCCCACCCTCCACTGGCACCTTGTGGATGCTCTAATTCTCAAGCTGTGGAAACAGGCACCTGCCCACGGTCACTGCATGCGTATGTGTGGAGCTGGGCAATATTTGAACCCGGAATGTCTGACTCCAGACTGTGGCCTCTATTGCTTCATTATGCAAACTGCAGCTCACAAAGGCCCCACCCTGGGCTGCTTGGAGGTGGGGTGGGAGTCGGGGTGTGCAGCTTCTAATGTTTTCATCTCATTTTGATTGTAAAGTTTGTAGTCAATTTCTGCTTTCATTTATTTGACTTTCATAACTGGCCTTTTATTATTATTTTTAATCCTCACCTGAGGATATTTTTCTATTTATCATCAGATAGAGTGAGAGGGAGAGAGAGAGAGAGAGAGAGAGAGAGAGAGAGAGAGAGGCGAGAGAGACACATCAACTGGTTGCTTCCTGCACAACCTGATCAGGGCTGGGGACAAATTGCAACTGAGGTACATGCCCTTGACCAGAATCAAACCTGAGACTCATTAGTCCACGAGCTGACACTCCAACCACTGAGCCAAACTGGCCAGGGCCATAACTGGCCTTTTAAAAGTGAGACCTTAGCCCTGGCTGGTTTGGCTCAGCGGTTAGAGCGTCAGCCTGCGGTCCACAGAGACCCAGGTTCGGTTCCCGCTAAGGGCATGTACCTTGGCTGCAGTTTGTCCCCAGCCCTGGTTGGGTCGTGTGGGTGGCGGCCACTCGATGTGTCCCTTTCACATCGATGTTTCTCTCTCTTCCTCTCTCTCCTTCCCGCTCTATCTGAGTAAAAAATGGAAAAATGTCCTCGGGTGAGGATAAAAAAAAAATAAAAAAAAATAAAAGTGAGACCTTAGCCCAGCAGGTGTGGCTCAGCGGTTGAGTGTCAACGCATGCACCAAGAGGTCGCCGGTTTAATTCCTGGTCAGGGCACATGCCCAGGTTGTGGGCCCGATCCCCAGTGGAGGGCATGCAGAGGCAGCCATTTGGTGTTCTCTTTCATCAATGTTTCTTTCGTTCCCTCTCCCTTCCTCTCTCTCTAAAAACCAATAAAGAAAAAAATAATGTGAGACCTTAGTTCAGGAAATGGGACAGGATCATTAGGAAGATGTACGAGGAGCAAGCAGGGATCACCTGTTTACAGTTCATTTCACCTTCGTTGCGGTGATTTAGACTTTCAAGGCTGCTGAGTGCTGTGTGTGTGTGGTTGTCTGAATGGTACTGGCACTAATGGCCCCAACTGGAGGTCCTGTCTGAGGGGCAGCAAACTGCTCACAAATGGTGACTCCCCTCGTTCAACCAGGAACAGATTCTGCTTAGGATGTAAGGGACCACTCCCCTCTGCTGGTTGAAGATAAATTTGCTGTCAATGAAGAAAATTCTGTGAGCACTTTTTTCTCTAGCAACCAACTGAGTAAAAGAGAACAGTGTTACCTCACTTTACAAATGGAGTATGAAGCAGTTCCCAAAACTTATTAAGCATCTACTATGTGCCAACGTAAGAAACATTCAAACCTGTGAAAAATTTTGTGAGTTTGTTTTAGCCAAAACTGTCCTAACACTGACCACACTGCATGACTAAGGTCTTCCCTCTAACAGCACTGCAACATTGTATTCAACAGGTAACAATGCCCAGCTGCCCAGCTAGTCTTCCTTCTCACAGTTCTCTAACATTGTATACAACATATAACACTGGCCAGCACCTGTTGACAATTGACATTTGTTGGGAAGCAAAATCTCAACAGATTGAGATAATGCTCCAGAGAATGGCAGCTGTGCACCTTATTTTATAAATTACAATAAAAAGAAGAGATGTAAATGGGTTACATGAAATTCACTGGTGATAGATTAGGAAGGTGGTGTTACGGAAAAGACTCAGATGGAACACCAGAGGAAGTGAAGAGGTTCCTTTATTTACGCATGGGACCCAGAGGAGGCAGTCTCCAAATTCTGGGCCCGCCTAGCTTTATAGTGGGCTGGGTGGACACTCTTTCGATGCAAGAGAATTAAGCAGCTTACAGAAGCAAGAGGCAAAAGGGTCTGGTTATCTCTAGGAGGCAAAGGGGTCTAGTTATCCACTGGGTACTTGCTCTTTCTAAAAGGAGTTTATTTCTTCTATCAGTGGGAGAAAGCAAAGGGGGGAGGGACCTCTGGGGTTGGATAAAAAAGTAAAATGATAGATAAGTGCTTCTTTTACATTGGTGGGTACAGGATAGTTAACAGTCAACAATTAACATGATAATAACAATGAGGGGGATTTGTGGGCTCTGTCCTGGTGCTTAGGTTGTGCCCTGAGGGGTCTGGAAAAAGAAGTTACCCTGACATTCCAAAAGTATGCTATCAATAGATGCAAAAAGACAATAGGCTCAGTTAAGGTGAAAGGGGACCTTTGTCAGGGAAAATACCAACCTAGGACATGACTACCCTCCATAAACCACTTTTAGTTAAAAAGTTTTAATTTCAGACCATCCTCTGTGGTTACTTTCCGTCCGAGTTTGTAAGGCCGCCATGCAGGCCCTCCCTTAGCATGTGGGCCCTTTCTGTCCACATAAATGCTGGCACTGGGCTAAATGCCAGGGATAT